GCACCTTCCAACGTGGGTGTAACAATTCTGCCAACCAAATGCTGCTTTTGATTTCACTCTATCATAATCTCTTATTTTTAGCTATTGCCTTGACTGCTTTACTCCTGGCAAACACTCCAAAGCTTTACTGAAAGTGAAGGCGTACTTTGTCAACAGTGAACTATACAGGTAGAACCGTAATTCAACAAAGGGTGTGGTTTCATAAAATATTTAAGATTGTACTTCTACCAAAGCAAGCAGTTCTCCACCTTTCTAATCATCCTGCATCTCAGGACTAATACTTATGAAGCTGTATAAGGAAGCAATGTCTCGGCAAGGGAGCTGTTCAGTGGCAGTGTGGTCTTGGAGCAGTTTGCATCACCTGCAGCACATGCACAGAGCTGCTGAGCGGTTGTGTTCAGAGGACGATACAACTCACTTTGCTGGAATACCCAATGGCATCTTTCAAGGCTCCACAGAGACATGAGGAAGCGTCTAACTCAAATACCAATTGTTTTCATATTCCACATGTAAATTTTTACCCTTGCCCACAAGGCATTCTGCTTCATGAAGGGTGGCAGTGTTAATCCCATCCTTACATACACAAGTCATACCTGCTGAAACCCAAGGACATGGCAAAACCAAGTGCTTGTTTACTTCTTGTTCCTGCCAAACAGGAGAAAACCACAGGGTCCGACTTGGATGGCATCTTTTGATTGTACTGCTTCTTGAACTCCACTGGGTCCATCTGTAGAGCTTCCACTAATTCACCCACTGGGAAACACAGAAACCAAAGTAATATTTATTTTCCATTCACGGACAGGCTTACACTTCAAGGCTTCTAATTCCTCTAGAGGAAAAGTTCAACCTCACAACATACTAGCACCTATCTAGCACCGCTGTTCTTTGTTCAGTCACAGCCTTGACCATCAAGCCAAGGGGAACAGGGAACACCTGACCCTCGCACTCAGCGGCGTTCATAACTTACGCGGGATGTTGATGGACTCGGGGATTTTTCCAAACCTGTCGATCTCCCACCTCTCCCGCACGTCAATGTGGAGCACGCTGGTCTTCTTCAAGTCTTTGAGCTCCCGGTAGGAGAGACTGGGCGCCCCGCCGGCGCACAGGCTGCGGCAGCTGCGACCTGGCGGGGAGGTACAGCCCGTCAGCGCCGGAGGCCCCGCGCCGCGGCCGCCTGCCCGGGCAAGGACACCGCCGCTAAAGACATCCATCCACACAGGGGTCCGGCAAACCTCACCCCCGCCCGCCCCCCGAGAGACACGGCCGCCATCCCGCCCCTGCCTCACCGGCCGCTGCCGCCCGCAGGGCCCGCGCCGCCCGCCACCAGCCCCCGAGCACCATCCCGGGCCGCGGGCCCGGCCCCGCCGCTTCCCGCCGGCCGCCAGCACCCGCCCCCGCCGGCGGGGAGGAGACACCGCCTTCTCCTCGGGGGCGGGGGCTCGGAGGTTTGATCGCTGCCGGCCCGCTTAGAAATTTGGGAAGCACCACGGGGGAAGCCACGCGTGGCACCTGCCCGCACCGGAGGCACCCGCCCGCACCGGAGGCACCCGGGTTAGGCAGCCGCCGCCTCCGTTTCGGTACATCCAGGTACCGCCCTGCCTTGCCTGGGCAGGGTGATTTCTACCACTGAGCCAAGCTGTCGAGAAGCCTTAAAGTATCAAAGGCTGGGAGTCTGAACATGGATGAGGAATTTTGATGCCAAATCTACTCAAAGTGATTTAAAAAACAAACAAACAACCAAAAAAAAAAAAAAAAACCAACAAAAAACAAACTTCTGAGTGTTATGTCCGAGGAGAAAATGTGATTTTAGCAATGGCCTGCACCCCTTTCACCACAGTCACTGTCCCCCTACAGCCACAGGAGTGTGGTCCAGGCACCAATCTCCTCTCTGGTGACCAGTGAGAGGATTTGAGGGAATGGCCTGAAGCTGCATCACAGGATGTTTAGGTTAGACATTAGGAAAAGGTTCTTCACCCAGAGGGTAGTCAGGCACTGGAACACCCTCTCCAAGGAAGTGGTCACTGCACCAGACCCACCAGAGTCCAAGAAGCGTTTGGACAGCACTCTCAGGCATATTGTGTGATTCTTGTGGGCATGCTGTGCTGGGCCAGGAGTTGGACTAAATGAACTTTGTGTGTCCCTTCTAACTCAGGATATTCTATGATTCTATGATCCCACGATCCCTAGTTTCAATACCCCTTGATTTTGAAAGCTGTCAGTCTCCCAGCCACAAGGACTGATGACCAAGATATGTAACTAGAGGAATGAGGGTCCTTCCGTTCCACACATTTTGAATCAATACTCCGTACTTACTACATACTTTTGCAAATATATTACATAGCAGCAGTTCCAGTCTTTAAAAGCAGGCATACTGGATCTTTTTGTAAAAGATGCATTTTGAGGAGTATGTCGTTGAATCTTTACTAATAAGAGTTTTCCTTCTCAAAATGAGAACAAAATACTTCTTGGTACTGTAAAGTGTGACAAATTGAACTTGGCACATATAACTGGTTCACTAGCTGCCCTTCTGCCAGCCTCTCCATATGGCCTCCTTGACAGGCATTTGCAAATTGTCTCTCTGAAGCAGTATATCTATATATGAGTTGAGGTTTCATGCATTTCCCATTTTCCACAAGATCTGGGTAGAATACACTACTTCTAGAAATTATATTTTGAAATATAATCTACTGTGTATTTTATCTGTAGTAAAATAATGTCCACGGTTAATCTCCACTCACTGTATGTTTCACTGTAAGGACCATAAAGCATTCAATGTGAAGCACTAGGATACTTGTCATATGAAATGCATATTCACATGGAACTGCATTTCTGTGGTTTTAATTTGACCCTGGATCATGCTATGTACACAAAGCGAGAACACGCTTGCTTGCAGAAATAGGAATCATCCACTATCCATCTTGTGAAAGACTGAGAGTTTGAAGTCAAAAGAGATCAAGCTTGGTGAACTCCTGTGGTTTGATGAAAAAGCGGGAAGCAGCACGTTCAATTCTGCTTTTGCCTTCATGGCACTGTCATTCTGCACTCACTCAACCCTTCCTCAGCAGCTTTCTTCATTTCATCTCTTGGGACTCTCTCATTTCACCTCCACTTCACTTTCCAGTTCTGCACAGCCTCCCACACTCATCCCCAGTGGCATAATTTCCCAGACTCTTACCCAGCTGCATTTACCCTTGCACATTCTTTATCCCCATCTTATCATTTGACCAAAGATTTTGTTGATCAAAGAAATGGTTCGCTAACATAGGGTTTCATCGTCTTTCTGCCTTTCTGATTTTTTTGTTACCACATTTTCTTTTTCTATCATCTGATTTTTTTTCTCCCCACAAACTTTTCAGCCTTCACACCATATTCTTCACCAGGCTTTACTATTTGCTTTTGGCCTCTCTCTCTGCTCTCTCCTTTCTTTCATGCCTCCAATTGCTGGTGATTTTAGTGCTTCTTCTTGCTCCTTTGCCCTTAACCTTTCATTTTCTCTTGTTACTAACCCCCAAACTTCCCCTTCTGCCAGTGCACAGACATTCTATCTCTTCCAGATATTTCTGTTCTCCTCTCCTGAGATAAATGAACATATTCCCCTTCATATCCCACTATCCCCATTTTACACATGCTCACTTTTCCTTCCTTCTCTTTAACCTTTGAAAGTAGTTATTACTCTTGCAGTGCAATAATTCTCTAATATTATTCTCCTGTGTGGAGTAGGAAGGACCCGCTTCTTAATCCAATTTGTTTCAGATTATTGTCCCACACCGTTTCTCCCTCTCACATATAGACTCCATTAACATGGTGTGCACAATACATGTCTGGACCACCTCCTTCACACGGTCTGCAGTCTGCCTGCAGATCTTTGCGCTCAGTTGTTACCACAGTCACTGATGTGCCTAAAGAATTTCTCCTACCTAAAATCAAATTAATTTGTCAACCTGTTTCAGCAATACTCTTCTGGACATCTTGTGTTTGCTTGGTCCAATGACTTCTACCTGCTTCTCTAACCATTGTTTCAGCTTACTTGTCAGCAGATCCACTACAGGTTCTCCATCCTTGGTTCTAAAGGGGTGCCACAGCGACCTCACCCTTTCTCCCTTTTTACTCTATGCCTTATTATTGAGTGATCTTACTCCAATAAAACTGCTATTTCTCAGTCCTTAATTCAGATTTGCCTTCTGTCCAGTAAAGCCACCTGTGTTTTCAAGCCACTTGCTGAGTTTAATCCCAACCCCAGTTTCAACTAGTTCCTCGAGCGCTGGACACCCTTTACTCTGCCTGTCCCTCAGCGGGGATATGCACCTTTGATTCTGACCTCCCTTCAGTCCCTCCCACGGTGGCTGCCCTGAAAATACACGCAGGGCCCAGACCCTGCTGTGTAACCTCTGGGCACGACTGTCCACACCCCTGCGCGGGCACAAACCCAACGCAGCATCTCCAGCTCTTTCAGCAAAACTCCGACGTGAAGGTCACCCCACCACGTCTCCCTTCTTTTGCACGCCCTTTGCCCCAAGTTTCTAAGGTGCCCTGCAACCAAACCCACCGCTACCTGTCGCCTCTCAGCGGGCCCGTGGTGCGCTCCCGCCCACCCTCGGGTGGCCCCGCTTCCCCACGGCCCTTCCCAGCCGGGGCACGCGTTCTGCCCTCGAACCAGCACCAACCCGTGCGGGAGCGGCCCGGGCAGCGGCCGGGGCGGGGAGCGGCGCGGCCGGGGGCGGAGCGGAGCGCAGCGGAGCTTCCTTCGCCGCTTCCTGCTGCCGCCGCGCCCGCCGCCGCCGCCCGGCGCTCTGTGAGTGCGGGGCGCGGGGAGGGGGGGCCGCCGGCACAGCGCGGGGGCGCCGCGTCCGTGCCGGGCCCACCCTGCGCAGCCGGGGGGGATCGCGGGGCCGGGGCCGGAGCGCCGGGTCCGGCCGGGCCGGGCCAATCCGCCCCGCCATGGCGGCGGCCAGGCCCGCGGCCTGCGGAGCCGCGTCCCGGGAGCGCCGGGCTGGGAGCGGGCGGAGGGGGCTCTGCCCCGCCGTGGCCCTGGGCCGGGCGATCCGCCCCCGTCGCTGCTGGGGGTACCCGGGGCTGCGTTGTCCGCGCTTCTCCCGCAGGGCGCCGGGCTGGGGACCGAGCGCCGCTCTTGTTGGGTCGCCGGCGACGAGCTGCTGGTGGCGGCCGCCCGCTGTCGGTGTGAAGCGGGTTAACCCTGCCGGGATATGTCCGGGACCCGCCGCGCGTTTCTCCGTGTATTACACTGAGGAGAGGCGGTAGCAGTGCCTGTGGCAGCGCTGAACATACGCTCCGGTCACTTGGCGCTGGGCCCGGGGGTACGATGGTGCCTCGGCTCCGTGTCGTGCGGCAGCGCGGCTGCTGCGGCCCCGCTGTGTCGGCCTGGAGCTGCCGCGGCCTCGGGGTCGGTGCCCAGCGAGCACGGACTGGCCCGTGTCCGGTGGTCAAATGACAGCCCGGGGACGGCCCTCGCGATTAATCGGAGAGAGACGTGGTGTTTTAGACCCATAGCTGCAACTCTGCACGTTGTATTTGATTTGATGTTGGGATTCTCTGATTCCTGGCCTTGGTTTTTTTTTTTTTCTTTTGCTATGATGTCCTTTAGGACTTCATTCTGCCCTTGCTATAGATATGTTGCTACTCGCCCCATTAAACAGGATATATGTGACGGTGTATTAAAACAAGGGAGCAGTAGAATGAAGACGTCAAGAACATTGAAGCAGATGACAATAGCTGCAGATGTAGCACTATATTCTAGTTGCATCTCATCTTTACAAGTATTTCCTGATTCCATGAAAGTCCTCTCATACGAGCATGTAGAGCAGACCTGTAGTTAAAGGATTTGTATTTATTTGTATTTAAAGTATTCTTTCTGCTCTCATTTTCTAACTTTTAAGTGGGAACATAGTAGTGGCACGAACATGTGCCAGATTGAAGCAGAATATGCCTTTGTGAAATTGTTCTGGTGTTTACTACATTTGTAAATATTTTGTCAGATTTGTTCATGAAATATTGAAGAACTGGTGCTCTGTAGTTTCATTTCTGAGAGATTCACAGAACTGCCGCTAGCGTTTCAGGGGTTCTGTTTTGAGCATCGATTGTAGATTGAGGACAAGTTGTTCCACTTCAGACGTCATCAAAGCAAACTGGGGCAGTTTGTGTGGAGGAAGAAAATGGAATGAAATTTTTGGTTTTGGTGGCAAGACTTAGGCTTTCAAAGAGCTCAAACTAGTTTTCAAATTTATGGTTTTATCTATTTTACCCTCATTACTTAACTGATTCCCTCAACACTCTTCCAGAGTATATGGGAAGTTATGCACAGCCATTATCTTCATTCATCTGCTCCAACTCAGCCGTTTAGGCAGAGGTACAGCGGGAGTCTTATCTTAACGTATGGTCTTGTGTGGGTTTCAACCTTCTGTCTCACACACATGCTGCAACCACAGCTCCTTTTTTGTTTTTCTGAATTCACAGAATTAACATTTCTCTAAAGTTCGTCCTTTGCTCCTTTTGTCCTTCATGTTCTCTGACCAGCTTTTCCCCAGTTTTTGGCCACGTGCTTATCCCGCGAAGGTACTGTGAGTTCACTGGTTACTCTCCAGCTGTTTCAGTTGTCATACTCTCGAACTTTCTGTGGTGATGGCACTGTTACATCGATGTTCATATCACAGGAGTGTACAGTCTGTCAGCTCTGTCATCTGACTGCCTTTTCACATAAAAGTTTTCACTTGCAAGCCAACATCATTAGTTATAAGCTCTGGCTCTTCTGATACTGTGTTTTGCTTTTTAAAGCGTGAATTTTCTCAGAAAATCCGCGTTAGACCATCAACACATCTACTCAGGTGTTTTTCCCTCTTGGTGTGTTCATATTTTTTAAAAAAATGCATTTAATGTGGGATAGAGAACATAAACAAAAGTTGCGATTTGCTCTATGGAGCTGGATATTGATATACATATCCCTGAAATTTTCCTCAAGACCTTTGCTATAAGATACTAGCAAAAGTATGTTATCAAAATACTACTCTTTTTACCCATTCAGTCCTTTAATATACTCTAGTTATCAATCCAGTTACAGAGTCTTCTCATTCTTTTTTCTGGAAATATTTGGTTTCTGTTCATCCTTAGAAGTAATTTTTTTGTGGCAAATGGGTTTCAATAGGAAATCTGAGGGGGATTGTGCAGGATACAAACATAAACGTTGGCAGCCCGTGTTTACCATGGGCAGCTGGATAAAATAGTTTAATGAAAGTGAGAAATGCTATGGGATAGATACAACTGAGGAAGTTGTATCTAGTAGTCCAAAGGCTCCGTCTCACTCCTTGCTGAGAAAGTACATCAGTGTCTCACCCTTTTAGGACTGTACTATAATGTCAAGATTGGCATTTGAGCTCCAGTGACGGTGTAAGATGTGTGATGTGCCTTTGGGCTAGGAAATCTTGGAGATGACGCTTTCAGAATTTCAGATGACATTTTCCAGGGGGAGAAGCTTTGCTGCCACTACCAGTCAGCAATTCTGGTCCTTTTACTGCTCTAGCAGGCAGTGGGGGCTTGTTTGCTGCAAAGGTTTTGGTGGCTGTCAGAGTGATGAACCTCCTGGCCCGCTGATGGGTGACACTGCCCAGTTGCTAACTGTGATGGATGTGGTTCCTGCTTTGATTGGGTGACATTTGGTCTAGTGGTGAGCAATCCAAAATGCCATAGGTAATGCTTGGAACAGATGTCCAAAATATATCAACTTGCAGCTTACATCAAAACATGTAGCAGTTCTACATGTAGTAGTGGGGGGTCTGGCATTACTGACCCATACAAGGCTCTTCTTTCTATGCTGTCACAGTTACGTGGAAGATCATAAAGACCTGTCTCAGATGTGCTGTGGAGCATCTTTGGACTTAATCTGCACACCTGTGCTGTTCCTTGCCTTGGAGCAAGGCTGCTGTTGAGGTGGAAGTGCTAATTTTTCCTTGTATTCAGTGAGTGCTATGTCCTTTCAGTGTGACACAGGTTTTTCTTTGCATTAGCAACAGAAAATGGTATAATTTAAACTTGAAACTTTGACTACAAGTGGTGAGACAGCTGGAATTCAGAATACCTCAGATGAAGTGAAGGACTGAGGTAAATGTATTTACCCCATCTTCCTTGAATTCAGGTGCTCACTGATGAAATAATTAACAATATTGGTTTCACAGTTAATGGACAGTCCTACTGGGAGAGCATTACCCATATCCAAAATGGTATCTGGAGACTATCTGTAGACTCACTTGGCTGTATTTCACAGGTTAAGTATGCTTAAATAAGATGGTGTGTTTTTTGTTGTTTTTATCTTGTTTGCATTCTAGCAATGCAACTGTAATCCTCCTAGTTAATCCAGAATCAGGAAAAGTATTGGAATAGGTATTACACAGATAAGAACAAAAATGTGGCACTCACTTGAAAGAGCTGGTTCCCTAATTATAAGAGGAGGGAAAAAGTGGATCTTGGCAGATAGAAGCAGTGATATGGTATTAGCCAGTAGAGCAGGTTATTTCTCTAACATAGGAGTGGTCTGGTTCATGTTTCTTCTAAGCATCATGGTGAAAGTACAGCATGTGAAAACTCATTAAGGTGATACATTTCAAAATTTAGTAAGTGAACTATGTAGGCATTCTAGGAGGGACTCAGCTTCCAAGTAAGAAGGGCAAGATGGTAAGATGGGAAAAGATGTTGTGAAGAGGAATGATTTGATTGGTTGTTTTTTGTTTGGTTTGGTTTTGTTTCCCAAAGAAAAGTGATTTTTAGTTCATACTAGCCTTGTATCTTTTATTGGTCTATTGAGTTACAGTAAAATGTAATTTTTTTAAAAAAATAGTTATTTTAGGAAGTACATTCAGCTCTTGTAAGTATCTAAATGTATACTTTATAAAGAGAGTCGATTTCTAAGTGTAGGAATATTAATGCTGTTAAATATAGACTTTTTCAGGCATACCTTACATTTAAAATAGTCTAGGCATACCTTAGATTTAATTTAACAAATTCAGCACATTGATTTTTGGCACTTTGTCAAATTTGAAACTTTTAAAATTAGATAGGGCAGATCAGTCTGCTGCTTTTGAAATGGTTTGTCCTTTCTAGAATGGTGGAAATGAGGAGTTCTAGTGAGGAGGTTTTGATCTTAATCAGCTTTCTGTAGGCTGACTGACATTAGTAGGAGTCTTTTAAGAAGTAAAAAGTTAATAACAGAGAATAGCTAGTGATGATGATTACACTTCAAACTTTTGTATGCTGAGCTCAAAGAATCTTAACATGTTTATCAAGGACTAGTTCTTGGTTTTGTATTAAATGATTTTAAAAAGGAAGAGATTTAGCTTTTTCTAATGTGACTTTTTCTATTTTTCAACTTTTCCCCATGGAACTGCATAATTTCTACTTAAGATTTTTACTGTGTGCCAAATAGAGATCTGGATGGAGCTAGCATACCCTCTGAACTCAGCTTTTTCTGCCACAAAAATTGATGTCATTTTAGTTGTCAGATTCATTAGTCAAATATCTTGTGCACCGTGACTTGATTTTATGTATGCAAAAACTTTTTGATTTTGAAATGTTGATCATGTTAAAATTCTTGAGAAAGATGTTTTATCTGTGATGTTTTCTGTCCCTAAATGTACTGGAAAAGGGCAGATAGTATTGCATATATACCGTGCTACTTCCGTCATAGATCATATGGAGTAGCTCATTGCTCTTACCCTTCAGCACACTTACATGCTTTTCAGTCAGGCACAAACCCTGTCTGTCTAAGTCCTTGATATGCTCTGGCTTTTCCAAGAGCTCACAGGTCAGTAAACATTGTCTGATGGATGCCCCTCGATATGTGTGTTCATGAAAAGTAATTAATCTAATGGTCCATGTTGTCTTTAGCTCTGCCTGCTCTTAGTGAAAGGAGACTGAAAAGTGTCTGGGCTGTGCAGTGGGTTCCCAAACCTGCAGTGTGAATGCCAGCTTCTTATGCCAGTGTTCATTTCTAGTGCCGTGTTGATTATGCCGGGCTTGAAATGCCGTGTTTTCAGTCATTGTGGTATCAACTGACACTCTCTTTTCCACGTGTCCTGAAGGTCCCTAGAGTGTGGGTTCAGCAGTGGGCCGTGTGTGCCTCAATCCGGATTGTGTCACCTGCTCTGCTTGCCACAGGCTTCACAGGTGGTAAAAACTTGCTTGTATTTCAGCTGGTTGGGCCTGTAATTATTTATCTGAGCTCTGAAAATGTAGTGATATGAACATGACTGTCATTGGGGTGAAGTCTGTGGTTTGGACAGTCTTACATAATCTGTCCAAAGAGATCAAAATTGTTATGCTGAAATGAACTCGTAGGTTGTTTATGTCAGTGTTGAATAACCTAAACACAACTATGTTCCTTTAGGGAGGACATTTTTGCTGCCTTTCCTATTGACTCTTTACATAATTTAGTGCAAAATATTAGGGTTTCTAACAGCAACTGTGTTGGCCTTACTGTTTGATATATGTCTCGATGAATCTTGTGCTCAGTTAAGCAGCAGTGCGACAAGTGGTGATGGGTAGTTTCACATGAAGCTTGGATATGTATGATGAGGTGCCAAGGCAGAAATACACCGTTGAAGTTGTTGGAATCTTTTTGTGTTCTAGGGATGCCATATGCACGGCTGTTGATGGACGTTAGGTGTGCTAACATTTGTTCAACATAAATAGTCAAGGGCTGGAAGATTTAGATCTTTGTTACTGTATGAGCAGGAATTGTGAACCTGTGAAAGCAGCAAAGCTGAATTCAGTAGCCTTGTTCACTTGCATGTCTAAGCATTTGAAGCTTTATAACTGTAAGTATAGGAAAATTTTAAAGCTGTAATTTAAAAACATCATGATATTTAATATAGTATAAATTAATTTCCATGTAAATGTAGCATTCTGCAAAAAATGCATTGTATTTTGAAAGGTTGAGGAGCCATGAAGCCGTTGATGCAAAGAAGCAGAGAGTAAAGGCTTCTTTTGTACTCTACAAAAATTTGACTTGTCCAATGCAAATCTATAACCTATACCTTCATGCAGAAAACCTCCAGCACTAATAGTATGGGCAGCAGGTGCAGAGATGTCTGTCCAGATCCATAGGAACCTGGAACAGGACCTCTGAGGTACGGATTGCCTGCTTCGCTTCAGTGCAGGCTGTTCAGACACCGCTGATGGTGGCGCTCTGCTATCAATATTGATGACTGTTCTGCTGATTGGCTTAATGGATAAGAAAGGAGAGGGAATACTGAGTTCAATACACTATGTCTCTCAGAGCTTCGGTAATACAAAGGTTTAAATGCATATACAGAGAAGATTAAAAAAACTTAAGTAGGCTAACTTTCTAAACTTCAGCAAACTTAACTAATTGATGTGTAGTAATAATATATCTTTTGCTATTCCCAAATGTAGGGCATTTTAGAGTTTTCCTACACATAAATGCAGTAGCACAGTTGAAAATGTTTGGTACTGGTGGCTCAGGTGACATTACTAGCCTGTTTGTGGTACACAACAAGACATCATTTTTTTTCTAAACAGAGTGGCTCACAGTTTGCAGTGTATGAATATTTGACTATCTTACATTCATATGCTTCACATATGAAAACAAAAATTTGTTTTTATGAAGCACACTGTTAAAAGACAAACTGTAAACTAAGCCCCAGCAGCTGTTTGTGTGATGCACAGCTACACTCCTTTAGTGAATTCACATTTGGATTTTGATGAAATGACTGGTGTGCTGAAATCTCTGTGTATTTTTTTATGTTTAATGGCAAATATCTATGCTTTAATTCTCTTCCTTATAGGGCTCCTTGATTAATGACCCAAATTTCCTGTGAGAAACCTCATCCTTACGGATTCTCTGATGTTTAATAGAGGGGTCAGCTTGCATTCCAGTTTTTCATCCCTCATAGGATAGGACACTTTAATCAGATTTGGAAGACTTTTTGTATTTACTTAGAGTGTTTGAAATTGTTCAAATGCTTTTAGGGAATTTGCCAAGGGTAAGGGATGATTGTAACCTTTCCTAAGGGATATATTTTAAGGAAGAGAAGCTTTTATTTTGATGATGCTTTTCTGGTAAGGTATGGTTGGAGCTCTGTAATAATTTGCTTTACAAAAACAAAAATAAAGGAAATCTTGGTATCTCAGATATTTAACAGCACTGTCTAGAAGTGGGGGTGTGTGTGTATCCTCTATTGCCACAGATACAATTCATAATGTCCTGTAGTGTAACTGATCTTTCGACATTCATACTAGTTCATTCTTGACACATTCATAGTCCTTATTACACAGTAGCTGACGTTAGTCCAAGCATAAAACTGTGTTAGTGAGGTTTGAATGTGTGATTTGATCTTGTGCTTTTAGAGTTCAAACTCATTACATTTGGTGAAGCATTTACATAGCAATAACAATAAAGCAACATCTGTCTCTCTTTCCTAGGAAGTAACAGATGCGGGTGAAAGATCCATCAAGAACGAACTCCGAGAAGCCGAAGAGAAGCAAAAGGCCTAACAGGCCACAGGATGAGGACTCTTCAGATGATATTTCAGGTAAGTACATTAGGTGATTTTTTGTCCCTGAGGTTAGGGCTAATAAATTCCATATTGACTGATGAAAACCACAAAAAAAAGTACCGTGAAATACTTTTCTTGTTTGAATGTGTAACAAAATATCCCCACTCAGTTGTTTATGACATGATCATTTCTTGTGCTACATGCCTACCCTGAAGGGCTGGAGAGTCGGTTGATCTTCGATGACAACCTCTTCAAAGCAGAACAGTCCCTTCCTCGCCCTGTAAGGTCACACACATGTGGCAGGAGGCTGCTTGGCTGAGTGGGGAGCTTCCAGATAAACTCAGAGGAAAAAAAAGAAGGGCAGAGAGGGTGATGACATGTTTGGGCTGCCCTTGCAGAGGTTCAGAGTGTGCAGGATTAGGAATTAGGTAGACCAACCTCAGTCAGAGTTGGACCTGATGAGAGGTATGAAGAGTAAGATGGGCCTGTATGGATACCATGACAGTAAAATGATAGCTAAGGTGAGTGCAAACCTGCTGCATGAGGGTTCAGAGGACCTAGGGACACAGGACATGGGAAAAGGCTGAGGAAATCAATTTTTACTTTGCCTCTGTCTTCACATGTGAGTTCTTCACTTGATCCTCTCTGACCCCTGAGCCCAGTGGCAGACTCTTAACGTTGTCTAGAGAAGAAGATGGAGAACCGTTAAACAAAGTGGATGTCCACAAGTCCATGGGATCAGATGGGATGCACCTCAAGGTGCTGAGAGAGCTGCATAATGCTATTATAAGGTTACACTTTGCATCCTTCATAGCAGTTGGTATGCAGGAGGGCAGGTCTGCCATTCAGAGTGACTTAGACTGGCTGGAGAAATGGGCTGGCAGAAACTTGTTAGATAGAGTTCAACAAAGGCAAGTGGAGAGTTTGGCACCTGGGCATAACCACATGCAGTTACAGGGTGGGAATTAATGGCTTGAAAGCAGCTTTGCCGAAAAGGTCCTGGGGGTCCTTTGCTGAATGCTGATGCTGAATAAAACCAAGCTGTGCTGTTCATGCTGACTGTATGCAGGATTATATTAATTAGAGTACAGGGCAGGCAAGGTACACGATTCTTTCCATCTTTTCAGCATGAGTGAGACTTCACCTGGAGTACTGTGTCCAACTGTGGGCTTCCTGTTACAAGAAAGACACTTACTTGTCAGAATGAGACCAGTGGATCACCCCCCTCCGCATTGTTAAGGAAATTGAGAACATGATGTGGGAAGAGAGGCTAAAAGGAATGTCTTTGTTTAGCCAATGGAGTGAAAGTATAATTTCTTTCTTTGACTGCCTGATGGTAGTTACAGAGAAGGCAGAATTAGATTCTTCTAGGAGGTCCACAATGAGAAGACTAAAGGCAACAGACAAAAGTTGGGCTATGGAAAATTTGACTAGGTGTGAGGAAATTTATTTTATTTTCACTCTGAGGGTGGTGAGACAGAAAACTGATTTTCTAGTGAGTTAGTAAAACCTCTGTCCTTGAAGATATTCAGCACTCAGCTGAACAAAGCCATGAACAAACAGATCTAATTAGTATTTGGCTCTGCTTTGAATGAGGGTTTGGACAAGATAGCCTTCAGAGGTTACTGCAAACCTACCTTATGCTGTGATATTATAGTGGAATTTGTGCAAAAAATATGAGAGAGAAGAATGGTTGATATTTGTGTTCAGAATGAGCAGTCGTACTAGAGATGCATGGGTATTTCCAAATCTTTCTTTATGGGTTGAAAAGAAGGTCAACTGCCTGTGTTATTGTGTACAAAAATAGATTTATATAGTGTTTTACTGTCAAAACCCGGGGAAATTAGTTTTGTACAGAAGTAGTGCTTGTACTTTTGTACGAAGTAGTTTTCTGGTTTTAAGAGATGGCGTTTCTTGACTTGAAAAGAATTTTCATTACAGAAAGACTGAAATAGGTCCTTCATAAAATTCAGTATATGAGGAGCAGCTGGCTGATCTTTCCTATGCTAGTTCTTTGCTATTTTTTTTTTCCTAATGTTGAATTCGTCAGAGATTATGCTCTTGTAATATACACATGCTCCCTTTCATAGCTATTATTTTTAATGGATAAGGTTGTTTTCTCTAGGCTTAACCTGCCAGCACGTGAGCCAAGCAGTGGATGTGCATCATGTGAAGAGAGCAGTGGCTCAGAGCGTCTGGTCCATATGTGCAGAATGTCTGAAGGAGAGGCGGATGAGTGATGGTGAGCCCACAGCACCTTCAGACATATGGCTGTGTCTCAAGTGTGGCTCTCAGGTGAGCACACGCGCTAAATTTAGGTGGATTTTCTAAAGGATATGACTGGTGTGAGCCCTTGTCTGTTTGTCTTCTCATTACCTTCAGTGAAACAGTGTGACATAAGTGTTTAGTTGTGAGAGTCCATGCTTCAGCTTCTTCAGGGAAGTGGGATGTGACCTGATGTTCTTGTTTCGTTTTTTGGCAGTTTTGGGTTAGCTTTGTGTGTTATGGTGTGATTTGTCATCATGATCAGTAAGTGACAGTCCTGCCTTTTGTCTGTTCTTCGTCTGCATGCTCTTGCCATTTGCAGAGAATTGGCACCAGGAACTGTGTGGCTGCAAAATGCATCCATTCAGATGGCTCATCTGGGAGAAGTTCCCACGAATACAAATGAAAGAAAAACCAAATGTGTATATTGCTGAATTAGCTTGTACTGTGGACACTCAATTGCTAGATTTGATTGAAACCAGGGAGAAAGGACAGTGCCAGAGTGAGAATGCTGCTTCCATGGCAGCTAGTCATTAGATTGGATCAATTATAATGTCAAATCTTGGCCTCAGAGTTTAAAACAGCAGGTCCTGACCCCAGGGGCTTGCACAGGTTTCTTTCCTGTGACTGAAGTAAAGCCTGATACAGAAAAATTCAGTTTATGGGCAATGTCAGGGTTCGGTTCAGCCAATAGTTGCCTGAACAAAGCATTTCACAATTTTCTTAGACTTTCAGTAGGTTTTGCTACAGTAAGGACAGAAGCCAGCTCCTCCCAGTATAATCTGAACAGATTTAATTTTGCAAAGAAACATGCTATTCACAGGCTTCAGAAGATAGTTAACTAGATCTGAGGAGGACTCCTGTATCTTGTTTGAAAATTTCTAGTTAAGGAGGGTTTTTAAAAAGAGTTAATTCTGTGTGATTCTTCATGCTCATGCTGTTAAAAGCTTCCAAAACTCAAGTCTCATTCAGACTCTCTCAGTCTTGGAAGTCCCACTCTGTAGATACTTGAAAAATTGCAAATGCTTTCTCTCAAAATTGCTGTAAATAAATGGTGTGTTCTGAGTAGCTTTTTAGTGCAAAACACTTTATCTACCTTTTTCATTTGCTGTCTGGAATGTATTTGGCATTCTTGAGCAGTGAGGGTTACCTATGCTGTCCTTTCCTTGATATTCTGTGGGCCAAATATGCTACATAATTGTTTCATTCCCAACTTTTAGAGCATTCTTACTTTTGTGAATGGCATCATTTTCTATTGATACTTATTTAATACTTTTCCAAAAGCTAGGAATTATTTCTATTCGCTTAAAAGAAACCTTAATGAATCTCTATGCTTTTATCTGATTTTTCCAAGTAGAAAAGATGAGGTTTTGGTTTTGTGTTGTCATTGATTTTCCTTTATTAGTAAAAAAAGTTAATTGGTATCTTTATAACACTGGATTATAATAGATGTTAAATCCTTTCAATCCTTGGGAATGCTAAATGGGTAGGGCAGAATAGCTTCTTGTCTAATTTTGAAAAGTGAAGTTTTTGTCATATATTTACTAATAATATAGTGTTTTCCTTCTTCCCTTTTTTCCCCCTTACTGTGTTGACGTTTCCATTTTTAGGGATGTAGTAAGAATTCGGAAGGCCAGCATTCTCTGAAACACTTCCAAACAGCACGTGCAGAACCTCATTGCATCGTTATCAACCTCAGCACGTGGATCATATGGTGAGAATGGGTATGCAGGGGTTTGTGTAAGCTTGTGTATAAGGATACAGACAACTTAAGGGAGTGTCTTCTCATGATAAAGAATGATTCTGACAGATAAAATTAATACTTTCTATAGAGGAAAGGGAGGCTTTCTGGAGAGAAAATTAATTTGTCCTTTGAATTGTCTGATAATATTTAAATCTCTAAGTGAATTGGGACTGATCCATAGATGAGCATATACAAAATGAGGGAATTCAATTCCATCTCTCTTTTTAGTGTGAAAAATTGAAACCTGCATCTTAAGTAATTTTTGTAAGGTTGCTTGAGAGGCTTGTTAGAGCTGGGAGGTGCATGCAGATACTCTGAATTCCGGTTTGTTTCTTCTTTTGTTTAGGTGTTATGAATGTGATGAAGAGCTGTCAACGCATTGCAACAAAAAGGTTCTGGCTCAGATAGTTGACTTTCTTCAAAAACATGGTGCCAGGGCTGAACCAAGTAAGTTTGCACAAAAAGCTTTATCTGGAGACATCTGTAATGTACTGACTGAACATTTCAGATTTTGAGTCATGTTAAAAATACAACTAAAAAGTTATGTATAATATGACTATAATGTAATTTGTAATTGCACAACTACTTGGGCAAGTAATGCCTGTCAAAACATAATGTCACTTTTTTGTACTGTTTGATAATATTTGAAAAATATTTTGGGCACTATAGGATAGTTTTTCCAAATTTTGTCTGTAATGAAAAAGGTTTATAATAGAGAAGTTGTTACCTTAAATATAATGCAATATAAGGTAATGCACAAAAAATGTGTTGAAGCATACACTATACATTTACTATAAAGGAATTGAATTTCCCTATTATGGATGTATCAAAGCTATAATTTTTCTGATTTAAATTCATTCTACACAGTAACATTTTTTTTGAGTGGATTTTCTAGTACTCTGTTGTTGTATGTAATGTTAATTTCTGCTATTTGGTTTTAATTGATAAAGTGCTTATTTCTATTAGTAGAAGATAGTATTAAATTATTTTCTTATATTAGGAGCCTAATAGACCTTCTCAATATATGTGATTGTCGATAGAACTTTGTATATGTGGCCCTCAGCTGTCTGCTCTTGATAACGTTGACATTACTCATCTCTGCTGTAACATACTTGGCAGCATTTCTGGCTTGTGACTTAGAGAGTGCATTGAATTTCAGATTTTCTTCTCAAAAACCAGCTTGAGTAAACTTTTAAAACAATTGGTTGCATTTTTTAGCTGAGATAATCAACTGGTTAGAAGTAAGAGTGGAGAAGGACTGCCTTACTGAATTAGACTAGGTATTCTAGCTCCATGTGCATAAATTCTACTGGTTTTAAGAGTTGTTACATATTTTTTGAGTGGAGAAAATGAAGGGCAACTTAGAAATATTATATTTTGATCAAATCACAAGTTATATGTTAAATTATTCAATTGTAATAAATTGATAAATTGCTACTTTTTGCATCTTTTTTCTTGGAGACATGAAAATACAGTATGTGATTTTACTTTTGTTCACTTCAGTTTCTCTTCAGTTTCAAGTTCATGTGTAATAAGTGGTTGTTGCAACTTTCCTGCAAATGAAAATGCTGTAGTGTTCCTTTCAGTTAATGTAATGTATTCATGCAAAAAGCGTGTCTGTGGACTTCCAGTGATGTTTTAAAAATGGAAGTCTGTAACCCTCCAAACTGTGGCTGTGCTGAGAAGTTTGGATTGCATTTGTAAAAGGTCTGGGACTATTGGCCCAAAGATGATTTGCTGGGTTTTTTAAGTGGCAAGGAAAAGAGGAAAAAGCTTCTGCCTGACCAGGCTCCTTGCTGGAAGAGGCTGGAAAACAGTCGTGTATTTGTAAAAGAAATGCGTGACAGGGAACTCTCAACCAGAGTTGGCATTCTTGGTTCATTTTGATAAATGACACACTTGCTACTTCCCCTACAGAAATCTATGTAAGGTTTTTTCTTTTATCTAAATTAGACTACCTTTAAGGATTTTTAGAAACAGAATCTGAAATTGAAATGTAATTCTTGCTGTTGTCCAGAACACAAAGGACACAACGAATAACTGTGAGAATTAACTCTACTTTTGTTTTGTTTAATTTTTATTTAGTTTAGCATTTTATTTCATGTTCTATTGATATTTTCAGTGTAACTGTCATCCTTGAAATTATTAGTTGGCATAGATTTTTAAAATTTATTTTGTATATTCAGCCATTACAAACATAAAATAATTTTAAAAACATGAAAAATAACTGGAGAGAAACAAGCAGTGTAAAACTGACAATTACCAATTCAATTCATATTTCTCGTTTAAAAATCAGTCTTGTGCTTTTTTTTCCCATTGCTTTTCCATTTCTTCCTAAAAAAGCAGTCAAAATGAAGACAGTTTTCATATCAGAATGTGGCACTGTAACAACAATTTCTTATGTCTGAATTTCTTTTTGTCGTAACAACTGGTTGGCAGGGTGCATCATTAAAATTCAAATAATATTGTGTAGAAATTTCTGTAGAGATGCAATATGAACATGGATATAAGTAGCAGATGAAGGTTGCTAGGGTTTTTTTTGGGTTCTCAAAAGTGCAGGATTCATTTAAAGATAAAATGATCAGTTTAAACATGTAAGGGAGGGTTATATAGATTTCCTAATTAATGCATCTTGGAAAATAAACAAAAGCAAAATGCTTGTCATTTGGTACTAATGTGGTGGAATAGTGTGGCAGCAGGATCCCTGCTTTTCGCTCGGCCTCTCATAAAGATTCAACTTCACTTCAGCTGTAAAAATGTGCAAATTACATTACTACTACATGACTGACTTTTGTAATTACATTAAGCGATTGAGATAAATCCCAGTGCTGGGTTCCCAAAAGAATGCTTGCAGCTGTGTGATTTTCGCATCTGATCCTATGGTTTGTTGTACCCAGCAATGCCTGCTTCTTCCCCCCCTCCCCCTTTTTTTTTTTTTAAAGGAGTCTGTTTGGTTAAGAGGTCATGTTGGACACAAGATGGAAGAATAAAGCAAGATTGCTTTCCAGGGTATACCACCCAGAAATTTGTTTTGTGGAAAAGGTTAGCAGGCCATGATGATTTCCACAGAAAGGCAGGTGCAGTATTGTCCGTGTGGCACACTTGTGAGCTTCACATGGACATAATGCACATGTAGTACACAGGAACCATGCTGAGACATTGCAATCTGTGTGTCTGCTCATTTGCTGGAGAAAACAAATTATTTTGCAGTCTTCAAAGTGAATATTATGTGTATTTTCCTTTACAAAAGCCAAATTAGATGTCGGTGAAGACATAAGATTGCATAGTTTTTGTAGAGCAGTTAATTACATTGGTTTGTGTGGCAATAGAATGGGAAGAAAGAATATATATTCTCAAATTTCTTAGTTAAATTTGTTGTTGGGAAGGTCAAGCAGAGGAATGAGATTTCGCTAGTAAGTTTAGCTGCCCAGATTTGCCAATAAATGAAAGTTAGAAACTTGATTTCTATTTTAATATATCTATTTCTATTTTTATACATCTAATAACAGATGTATAAAAATATATATAATTTTACAGTACAAGTAATAGTTGTTGACTTGTATGGAAAAACAAACTGTGATGAATAATTTTTCAGATTTGCATTCATCTGTGGGTATTAGCAGTTGACAAAGGATCACATTGAAAAAAATTGTATTATTTCATAAGTGATTTTTACTATATGTACATTGGAATCACGTAAGACCATTCTATATATTTAAAATTAACTAGCAAAGTAAAGCAGAATATATTGAGTCTCCAAATCTGAAATACACTTCAGCAAAAAGACATTTCTGTTATCGGTTTTTTTCTTTTCTGTTATCCTGTTTCTTTCTAATGTGCATACTTGTTAGGGGCTGTGGTTAATTATACACCTTGCAAAGGGATGAAAACTGAATCACTGTTAAAACTTTTTTTAGACATTCTGTCATTTTTATTTACAAAGTCTTTCCTTCCCTGTCGATGTACCTACTTCCTTGTACAGTGTAGCGCAAATCATCCGAGTGCAGAGGATCAAAACGTGTGCTTGAATAGGTCGCTCTTTCACTGTGCAGATGTCTTTAGTTTATAACATTGTGGCAGATTCAGTTTTTTGATCATTAATTTCGTATGATTGTAACACTACAAGAGAAGTTGGGCTTTTAAAATGTAAAGCTAGTGACATTTCTTCTTTTTTAGAAGAAAACTGTGCTGTTTGTCTAAGGGTTAGAGTCTCATTGTTGTACAGTGTTGAACAAAAAAAAATCTAAGTTTTTTAAATAAAAAAGGAGTGCCAGACAATTTAGTAGCATTTCGTAATACAGCATGATGAGAACTTGGTAAAAGAAAGGCAGTCTATTAACCTTGCTTTTACTGTGAAGACCTTCAGCTGAAGTACCAGAGTTGTATTCAATAGAAAAGGCTTGACCTTGGAATAAAAGTGTGTATTCCTGGAACCCTCATTTTTAATTAAAAAAAAGTTGCATTGAAAAGATGAGCAAAAGTGCTTACTCTCCTAGCTGAAAGAAAAATTTGATGTCATTTATCTTCTTGCTTGCATACCATCTGCACCCCCAGGCACAGCTCAGTTTCAGCAAGGGCGGTACAGAAGTCCATGTGCACTACAAGTGTTTGAAATACTGGCAAAGCAAATGGATAGGGAACACATGATAAATTTTCTGGACATCTTTTGCAAGTGGATGTGTCAGCACTATGTGTGTTTGTACACCTGGTCCAGTAACTTGCTTTGCTTCGTGGAATGAATCATTGTCTGTGTTAACGCAGGGTTTAGGAATCTCAGTTAAGGGACTGGTGCTGTGCAGCTGTGGGACAAAATCATGTTTCCTGCCTCCTGAGAGCTTATGAGATAAGAATACAAGTGAGCAGAAGTAGGCAAAAGAAAAGAATGGCAAGAAAAGGGTGGTTTGCAGGCAAAAGCTGTAGCAGAGGATCAGTCTCTGACTGCTGTCCTCTTGCCCATGGGTCTGGTGGGAAGGGAGTTTTCTAACATGGGGGAGAGCAGGGTGATGGCTGTGTCTATGTACAAATGCGGCTGTCTGAGGGCTGAAGGAGTGAGTGCTGGAGATGGATGTCATGGTGAGACCAGAGGCCTATGAAGAGTTGGTCAGTAGGGTGTGATGAATTGTATGGAGAGCTGGGCAGTGGGTCTTGGCAGAGTGCTCAGGTAGGGCGTCTCTGCAGCCAGATACACTTCGTCAAGGGAAAAAGAGGTTGTGGTGGTCAAGGCACGACTTGGGTGAGAGTTTTCCTTATGTGACTGGATATGGAAGGCCCACTCTGCAGCAAAACAGCAGAAAGAGCCCAACAGAGGGTAGAATGAATGTGTGAGCCCCAGGCATAGTTCTGTTCCTGCTGTGGAGGGACAGGCCTGCCTGGGGCTGATGGCCACACTACCTGAGAAGGGCGGAGAGGTTGAGGGTTACCATGTCAACTCTCTGAAAGATGTTATAATGAACTATGAACAGAATCTGGTCTATGAATTTGGTTACTTCTGTGCTTTTCACCCACCTTGCTCTCATTAATGTTAATAAGGTCCTTTATAAGAATGAATTATTGCATGTGGATGGATGGCTTGGACTACTTCTTTTCTCCTGTTTGGCGAGGAGCCGAAGGTCCTTGTGGGCAGCAGCAGATGACAGCCATTTTGATGGAATCCTTTTGCTGGGATCCTTCTTGTGTCTATACTGGCTTAAAAGTCACTTTTCATATTCAAAAGCATGCCTGTTAAAATATTACAGGATTGCAAGACTGAGCCGGCAAGAGTCCATGAAACAGCTGTTCAGTGCAAAGTCACTTTAAAAAATTACATATTAGCCTTTTGATTAATAACATGCTTGTAGCCGTGGGTTAATCTTGCAGAAGGACCCTCCAGCCCCAATCTGTAGAAGTATTAGCTATCACAGTCATTACCAGCATGTCCTATTAAGACTGACCAACTCTTCACATGTCAAGTAAACATTCAGCTTTAGGCCTGTCTGTCATTTATCACTGAGCTGGGGACACTGAGCAGAGCTAAATTAAAAACTGCTGTCCCTCCTCTGGCTCTGTCTATGTCCTTAAAAATACCTGTCTTATAAGCAAGGCAGCAGATAATGTTTGTAATGTCAAAGCAAAACTTTTCTTTCAAGGCTTTTTCACAGATAGAAAAAACCCTAGTACAATGTCATGTGGATTGTTTTTGTAAAATGATTAAAAACTGAAGAAGCAGTTAATAAAACCTTCTGAGTGAAAGGAGGTTCCTAGACTTCGATAACAACATCCAGGCCTTTTCCCAATTTACTGCTACTTCTCCTTATCCCTATGCTAATTATCCAGCTTTGTGGTAATCGGATGTCTGGTTCTCATTTATTGTGTTTTATAATTGCGTATTCATCCAGCTCTTATCACAAAGCTGGATGCTTTGGCTCTGTTTTCCCTCCCTTAAATAATTTATATGTAAGGTTCAGCAAATGGAACCTTGCTACTTGTGTGAAGCTGCCATTTAACCATGAAGGGAAATGCTTTTATCGAGTTTGCCCTGCAGATATGGTCCGCTGTGGCAGTGCTGTCCATATTTGGTGGCTGTGCAAGGAGAGCCAGGTGGTGCTGCAAAGCATAGCACAGTGAAGCGTGGACAGATCTAGGTTTGACATTTGTCATCCTGTACTGCTAAAGGGAAGAGAAAAATCTGCTTTTCCATATGCTTATGCTTTAATTTTTGCCTGCAGTTTTGTCCAGATGGCCTTGTGAACATTGTTTACTTTAAGATGCTGTCCCAGATGTTTTTGAATGCCGATGGATAAATGCAACAACTCTGGTATACTAATACACAAATTATTTACACAATTTTGGTTTTATCCCCCCTCTTTTTTTTTTTCCTTTTTAACCATCTCTTCTCCCCAGCACTACTTTGCGTGGCCCACTTCTCTGAGGGGAGAACATCTCCACTTATGTTATTAAACTTTTGAGAGTGAGCAATGCTTTTGAGTTGCAGATATTTGGAGCCCCTATTCCCCTGCTATGGTCGTTCTGAAGCTCTGTGTGGGTGGATGAGCATGCCCCTTGTAAGCATGGCAATTAAAAGGTGTTGCTGCTTGTAGCCCATGGAACAGTGAGTATTTCAGGGTGTGAGCAGCTCGTTTGTCAATCGTTGCATTCAAAAACACTTTCCTTTTTCAAGAACTCAGTCTTTTACTTTGCAGGGAGACTGCTTTAGAAGCTTGTTGCCAGATACAACAGCTATTTTAATGACTTCTTTTTTATATAATTATATTTTTTCATCTTCTAAGCAAGAAGCTACCTAGGAGTGTACATAAAAGAACCTTTTGGCATGAGAATTTCATTAACGTAAATAGGTCTGTTAGTTATTTCTCAAGAACACTTTAATGAGACTTCAATGTGAAACTCATTAGAACAAATATATGAATTCATATGTCAAGACAGAGATTGTAGCATCACAGTTCTTGGCATCTATTAAGTCCATAACTCGTTTACATTGACGTGCATTGTTAATCAATATTTAAGACACTGCAGATGTCAGTAATGTTCATATTTAGTCCTGCAACCATGACAATATGAAAGTTGCTAGTAGAATTCAAGACTAAATGTTGTTATCTCAAGTCTTTCCATTACCTCTAGGCTACAAGTTAATGACTGTCTAACTTTACTGCCCCTTATCTATTTAAATAATAAGGGAAGTAGGGAATTATATGGGTGTTATACTGGTAGCATAGTTTTAAAAATTTTTGTTACTTGAAATTAAAACACTAGCATTGTATGTATGTGGGCTTTAGTAGCAAGTCCTCAGGCTGTGACAAAGGGAGGTGGGTTGAAGAGCAAATGTAGTATTTGAGCAAACTGATAATGACTCTAACTGGGCTGTTGACAAGGCAGTTCGAATGGAGTGCAATAATTGATAAAGACTTGCAGCATTCAGGTGGTAACTTTTGGTTACCTCTCTTCAAATGCACCAAAAAGCAGCCTTTGTGTGGCGTTTCTAATGTGTCTGATGAATGTATATCTCAACTGCCTATTGTTAACAAGCTAACAGAGCTAATTTTATTTTATTTATTGCTTGCATAATTTTAGAAGTTACAGCCTTATGGGACAGTATGATTATTGTGGAAGGTTTTGTTGGATGTACGTAGTTGTTGGGGGGGGGATTTGGGGATTTTTTCCCCCCAGGGCTTTAACTGGTGAGATTGCATAAAGCAGCATCTTAGAGTATCATCAAGGTATCTTTCCACATATGTTAAAATTGATAAACATAATAATGGAAGGACTACATTGATAAAACTATGCAATTACATAGTCATATTAATCTATAGTTTAATTATAGGTTCATCAAAAATCTTACGTCTTCGTGAAGAAAACAGTGAAACAAGTGAAATACTAAAAGGAAAAAATTCTGGCAATGGTGCATCAATTCCAGTTAAAGGAATAAATAACTTAGGAAATACTTGCTTTTTTAATGCTGTCATGCAGGTAAGATGGAAAGATCATACCACTTTCTCTTCACAGATTTCAAAAATACTATATCTGTATAATCAGTGGGCTTCAGAAAAGGTTCTGAGTTACCAGTCTTCATTCTGCTTTCTCAAGGTCCTTTACAAATTCTTTTTACTCCTTGCTATCCCAGGATTATTTCCTGTTATAGCAAAAAAGAATTCTTGGATCAGTAGCATTTTGTACGTAATGAGACAAGTGAAAAGGTCAAGTGTTTTACGCACTGCATACGTGTGTGGGTTGTACTCTAGCATGTAGTTTTAATTGTAGTTCAGCATTAGCAGTTATGAGTAATGCAAGGTATTTACTGTACTGGTGGTGTGAGTAGTGGTACTTTGTGTGTAATGTAAATGTCTGCACACTAAATTGTGACGGTTTTAAGCCCCTACAATGGATGCAGTTATAAAATTACTTTTATTGATTATGATTTTTTCATAATAGAATAAGAGGAATGAGCTGTACTAATACACTTCTATTGATGTTGAGTATACAACTAATCCAACATCCTCAAAAAAGGCAGCAGCCTTCACAGGTTTTATGTTGGACCATCCCATTGCTTGTCAGCTGAGCAGAGACATCTGTATGTCTGCAGACGGGAGTGAACAAATGAGAGAAAACTGCTATAAAGGTGTTCTGCACTGGCACACTTTACCTTGTGTTTATAGTGTTGATTACAAAATTCAGTAAACAAATAGTAAAATTGTAAGGAGTAGATTTACTGCAGATTGTTATCTGTTAATACTTAGGGCATCATAGAGAATGGAGGGATCTGCAGTCAGAAGTAATAAAAAATAAAGAAAAAAATGTGTTGGTTTCTCTCCTCAATTCAGGGAGGTAATGCTTTTCAGTGTGTCAAAGTCTTTGTGCTTTATGAGGCATGATGAGAGGGACTGCGGAGTTTAAAAAGAGACAAATGATTTCTGATACTAATGTCCTCACCATAAAAAAATAAATTAATGAATCTTGTTGTTCAACAAAAATAACAAAGTTATTACTAGGAAACTATTTTGAAATTACAGAAAAAGAAATAGATACAATTTTAGAAACAAGTCAGATCAGTGATTTTTCTAGTGCTTTTCCTAGTGGTCTGACCTAAACCTCAGTTATATATTATGAAATAGATCTGGTTTTGTCTATGCCTGAAGCTAGAATATGTAACTAAAGAAAACTGTGTAATTGAAAGATCAGCATGTTTCTTTTTTTTCTTTAAGAACTTGGCACAGACTCATGTACTAAATGAACTGATATATGAGATGAAGGAGAAAGGAACAAAGTTAAAAATCTGTCATGCTTCAGACTCCCAATTGGTAAGTATGTATTGAGAAATACAAATCTGGGAAACTGTGCGAAGAAGCTGGAGGACAGGGAGTCACATCTCTGTTAAAGGCACACTGTTACTTTCCCATTTCTTTTGCCTTTTAATTGTTTAGCTGTTTTATGTTATCTGTGAACTCATTTCTTTTACAAAAATCATTATTCAGCCCTGGAGGAGGAGGAATAATGACTTGCTTTCACATGAAGTATCAAATAATGCCTGACCTTAAGTAAGAGAGGCTGGCTTATTTTTGTTTGTCATTGAATTTCTTCAATATGAATGTATGATACAGGAAATAGTCTATTCGGCTCTAGAAAGTGTTAATAAAATATTTTATTCCAGTCTGTCCCAGCCATTGATAAGGCTTGTAAAATTTATTATGTGCTTCACAGGCTAGAGGATTAAAATGAGAGAGGCAAAATTTCACTGAGGAAAAAATTTCTTGTCCTCGAGCTCATTGCAGGCATATGGGAAAGAGACTCCTGTGGCTATTATCCAAAGAATATTCTGCTGTTTCTGTCATGTCTTAGAGACTTGGATTTTCATACGTTGTTGGCAATAAAGATAATACCCCTTTCCCTCAGCTGGTTAAAGCAAATAGTTTACAGAAGATTTTTGTTTCTTTTTTTTCCTTTTTTTTTCTGCTCTTTGCTGGGAGCTTTTTGGTGGCAGTGAGGGTGGAGTGGTGGTATTCTGTTTCAGATACCTCTGAAATGATGAAGATTTCTTGGCATTGCTGTAGGTGATGTTCATAGCCGGTATAGGCAAGAACAGTGTGAAATTCACTGCATTGCTGTCTTTATTTCCTCCAGTGGTAGTTCTCAGCAGCCACATGTTTCACTAAGTTATCCTGAGCCACAATGGAGGTCTGGAGCTTGTTTTTGCCCAAGGGCTTAGAAAGCCAGTGAGATGTTGGCTTATGCTTGATGCGAAACTTGCACAGCCATAAGGTTGAAAGATTAATTTTTTGTTTAATGACAATGCTTACAATGTAAATAAGGTCTTTGGAACAAAGACTGTGTTTTCTGGTCTTTGTTTTTGTTTGTCAACTCAAAATTACAGGGCTGCAGTAATGTAGAAATCTGCAGCTTCCCGCTTGGTAAGGGGCATTTTTCCACTTTTCCATAGTGTATATAAAGCAAATACTTTATATTTGTGTGTATCCATAGCGCTTACATTTTGTGTGGATCTGCTTTCTGGACGAGGCACTCTCTCTAATTGTTTGTCTGGCTGTTGTAATCTGTTTTTCTGAGAGTCAGGCCACCTAGTAGGGAGCACTGTGGTCATGTATGAACCTTGGAGCGTGTTAGGGAGAGCTGGTGGTCTGTGATCACTGTGAACCACTGCTGGTACCTTCATGGCACCTGGTTCTTGGAGGAACAGGGTGTGTTTCTGTGTCTGTTGGATGCGTGGAAATCTCAGTGTGTGGCTCACAGGTCAGAGAAGCTGGCCACCCCGTTCCTAAGGTTGAGTAACAGGGAGCCACTGAGCACCATCTTCCACTGGCCCACAGAGGTGATCACTTGGGCTGTCTCTCCAACTGAGTTTCAGTGCCATGTGGGAGTAAGAGTAAAGCAGGTAATACAGGAAGGTAGTCTGTTTTTGTGAGAAACAGGCTGGCTCAATGACATACCTGTTTCCAAAACTATTGGTTACCACCAGTTTTCTTAACAAGAATTGTTTGGTTTTGCAACTATTACAGCTTAAACAATAAGCTTTCTCTTCAGTAATTTCAATCATGTAGGTGACATCAACATTTAAAAAACCCCACCCCACAACACTCTTAAGACCAAAGTTACATTGCTCTTTATCATGAATGTAGTAACTTGAAAGAAGTCTTTGAAATCTGATGTGCATTTTACCTTTGTTTTGAAGGATCCTTTGGTGGTAAACCTTTCCAGCCCGGGACCTTTGACTTCAGCGATGTTCTTGTTCCTTCACAGTATGAGGGAGGCTGGAAAAGGTCCTCTTTCTCCCAAAGTGCTGTTCAGCCAGCTTTGTCAAAAGTATGTATTGTCAGTATCTTTTACTTATTCATTTAATTTTAATTTTTACTGGTGTGTTTCTAAGTGTGCTATGTCTTGTACTTTCTAAGGTGCCGTTGGATTTTTACTGGGCAGTCCAGAAAATATTTTCTTCATATTTTAAAGTTGTGGGACTCTTTGTTGCACTCCAGGGTTGTACCTGCCCTTCATGTAATGTATGGTCCAGTTCATAACCACTAATGTTTAATGGGATTTGAACTGAGTGTGAGGGGGCAGAAGAGGGCATGATAAAACTGAAGAAAATAGGATTACCTTTCAGGTTTTGTTGTGTATTAGCATATTAGCATAAAGCTGTGCTAATACTGCGAAGTGTACGTAGGTATTTTGTAAAAAAGAGTAAGATTTTAAATGGGAAACCTCTGCAATGATGTCTAACCTTGGCGTCAATTCAAAATTAAAAAGAGTGTAACAAGTAAGGACTTGAAGCAGTACTGAAATGGCATATGGTTCCAGATTGTGGAGAGCTTACAAGCCCTAAAGAAAGTCCTGTTTCTTGGTGTGGAAAATGTTTACAGTGGTGCTTTGTAGGTGCTTTCAGTTATGATGCAAACAGTCTTGCTTTTTAAAACACCTGTAGAAGACCTATTTAAAAGTTGATACAAATATTTAAATATTGACTTACAAGCAAAAGAAGCTGTAGAATCAGAGTAACTGGAGGATGGTATATCTGAATCTCACATTTAAAAAAGAATAATATTGCATATTAATTTATTTGCTATGGTATTATTTATGGAACAGTAAGCGTTCTGCAGCAAGAGAATTAGGAAAGTTGCAGTCTCCTACCATGGCTTTCCAGGACAATCCTATTGGGCAATGGATTTAAAATATGGTATAAAGAAACAAAAGCTTTTAGATTAGAGCAGGGACAATTGAATTCTGTAAAGAAATAACTAATTACCTTTTCTTTATTCTCAAAACTCAACTTCAGAAACTTAACATTATATTTTTTTACTGTATTTGTCTTCCTTTTGATTCTTTTGAGCTATAAAAGAAAATGTATATAAAGTGACCTCACAGCAATTTTGAATCAAACAGCAGTGTTCTCTCTTTAGCATTATCTGGAAGAAAATATATAGGGAAGAAAAATACATTGTTTTCTCACTCCTCCTCCTCCTGTTTTGAGGATGTCTCAAAAAAATGTGATTATAAGGATAAAATTTGGCTGAGAAATGGAAGGGAAATGATTAAATAACAATAGTAGTTTTTTCCCAGTAAGTATTAAGGATACAAGGGAAAGGATGATAGAAAACATGTTTTGAAGCCCACCTTAGCAAATTCATTGTGAAATAATCATGATGCACTGCACTTCAGATGGCATTGTATTTTTAAAGTGGTATTTATTTTGTATCTGCTCTGTGTCTGTTTGTGTAGTCATCAAGTGATGTGTAGCAGTATTAAATCTCAGCTATCTAGTTGTTCTTTTAGTGTTGTTTTTTTGTTTTTAAGATGGGCATATACTTTAACTACCAGCTAAAACTGAAACATTTTAATGTGGGCAGTAGAATTTTGCTGTTTAGACATGTATCTGCCCACTTCTACCATCTCTTGCCTTCATTCCTACTTCTTACTTTTGTTATCCTTGCAGAACACAACATAGATATAAATCCTTCTCTAGCTCTACTGTCAATATCAAAAGTGTCAGCTGCATCCTGCTGGCAGGAAGTTAGGTGTTCAGGGTCAGATAAGGGGCTGGACAGGTATGACAGAAGGGTTTTTTTTTTTTATTGTTTTCTTATTGGTGGTGAGATAAACAAGAAAGAAGAAGGGGAGTTTAAGCAAATTCAGCAGTCTGCAGTGGTAGAAGGAGAATGCAGTGTTCTGTCATGCCATGTTTACAAAGCCTTTTTTCATCTTTTAGAGCTGGCTTTCTACTCTTCAGCAAAGCTTAAATGGAAAAGAGAGTGATTACAAGAGTCCCAGCTAGGAAGAAGTCTGTGGTACTGCAGCATTCTCTGTAAAAACTGCTTCTTGAATCCTGCCAGAAAGTTGTGTTAATACAGTCATCTTAGAGGCATGCACTACTTGTGTTTTTCATATTGAATTAGCACAAACTCCTTCTATTCAACAAGTTCAAGCAAGTTTCCTACAGAGATGACAGAGTGAATGTGTAAAAGGAAGAACTACACTGAAACAAAATGTTTGTATTTCAGAGAGAGATGTCAGAGAAAGACAGGTCCCTTAACGACTGGGGAGGATGGCATGGGGAAGGACTTTTAATAGCAGTGGGTTGGGTTTACATATTTTACATAAAAGTTTGCTGATTCCGGTTGCAATCTCATTTTTGGTCTTTTGTTGGTTTTGTTTGGTTGTTTGGTTTGGGGTTTTTTATTTTTTAATTTATTCTTTCCCCATCACAGATTCAAGTCTACAGTATATGACCATACCTTTCTTCAGTACAGAATTTATGAAGCAGATTGTGCAGATAGTATAGGATAAACTCGTCTGTGATATCAGGAGTTGGACTCAGTGACCCAGGAATTGTCTTCCCAGTCCCAGCTTTTGCCATAACATTATTTTCAGTAGTTGCTTATAGCTTGCAAAACATGGCAGGGATGCACACACTGAGTGGTCATTCAGAATATAAGATGTTTTGCTTAGTACTTAGCATAGTCACTTCCAAATACTACTAGGTTTCTTACAGATGTGAATGGTTGAAATGCTGAAGCTGTCAGCAGGTGATGGTATGCTGCTGTTCTTTATATGCTTAGATCTACTTGTTAGGGTTGTTACAGTATGCTATCTAGTAAAAAAGTAACAGCAATTTCTTATTAATGTTTTCCTCATGTGTAGCACAAAGCTGATCCTGTAAAAATGCTTACTTTTCTCTAATGACACAATTGGATTCTATATATAAAAAATATAAATTTTGATAAATGGGTATTGATGAGTTGTGATGGATTTTTGTTTTTTAATCTCCTAGCTAGATGGTGACATATTTTCATGTTGGATCAGTTGATTCAAGATACAGTAAAGGTAGCTGTATAATTTAATGCCTGACACTTGCCCTCATTTCCAGTTCAGTGCTGGAATAATACTTCTGAATTTAGTGTCTGGAGTTGCTTTTTTTAGATGTTGCTGTAAGACATCAGGACTCAACCTGCTTCAGATGTTGCAGTATGCAAGAGTTTGAATGCTAACATTTGAACTGGGCATCCTTACTCAAAAATTGAAAAGTGCTCAGTGAAAGAAGACCTAAGAAGGCAGGCAGGAAGGAAAGCAGGAAGGAAGGGGGGGCTTAAAAGGAGCAGGCAAAGGCACATAGGAGTGAGGTTAGGTGTGGGCAGAGAACCTGTAAAGAAAGGCCTTGTTCAGCTGCAGCTCTGGCATGTCATTTTGTGGGATCCCAAATCTCCAAGTGGATACACGTTCACTGCTCAAAAGCAGCAAGGGAATGGAACACAGTCCTTTTCAACTGCAGACTGCTTCTTTAAGAGTCTGAGGAGATCATGGCATGAAGTTCATAGTCTTGTGTATGAAAGGGGATCTGTGGTGCTTTTTTTATTTAATAGCAAAAGAAAAAAATGATCCCGAGTGTTAATTTTATCAAGTGGTGGGGTAGCCAGGTTGAAGAAGGGGAGAAGAAGAAAAGAAATGGATGAGTCTTTCTATAGCAACTGTTTAGCGTCTGGTACTAATTCATCCACTGTTAATTTTGTTAGTGTTGCAGCTGTCAGATGTTTTGCGAGGACAGATTGTGAGCATAGCTACGGGGCCCTTCTGTTGGTTTTCCACTATGCTGAATATCAGGACTGCAGACTTCTGACTTATCTGGAGACTTAGTAACTAATGCAACACTGATATATTAAGAGGATATAAATTTTATTTCCTTTATTTGTTATGACTGAATAATTTTATTTGTGGAAGAAAGCTTAGTTTTGTGGATCGAGTAAATGTTGCGGCATATAGGTGAGGAGTCCAGAAAAGAGTTACAGAATTTAGCTGCTTCAAACCTCCACCAAATAATTATCTATATAGGTATTACACTGCTACATTACCATGAAGGAAAAAATACTTCCCTAACAAAGAGCGTATTGGTGGTCACAGAATCTACATAGGTCTTATTTTCCCAAGGAGTATTCATCCTTCCTTCTCAGGTGCAGAAAGTAGAACTCGAGCCAGAGGTGGGACTGACAGAATGGAGGTCATGCACGGTGAGGAGTGTTGATATTAATAGAACTATAGTTTTCGAGGGAAACCTAAACAATGCTTGGAGTATTCCACATATATCGCTTCTGAGAGGAAATGCTAAGGAAAACTAAGGTAATGTTGTACAAGATATAAGGGGTGAAGGAAGCAGGATTTTTCTCATTAATTACAAGTCTTTGAGCCTTTTCTTTTAAAATAATACTGCTGTAGGGAAAATATCTTTTTAGAAAAGATTTTCAGCTTGCTTATTTTTCCCATTTGACTTTTACCATTGAAAAATAATAACAGCAGAACACACAGTTGATGTTTCCTTGACCAATTGTTAAGAATTATTTTGTGTCCCTGTCAAGCCCTCCTTGTCCCTTGCTGACAGTGCTGCGGCATGTTCAGGAGCTCTGACAGAGGAGATTACATCTTTTTCTCTGTGCAGCAGCAGTTGAGAGCTTGCATGTCTTTTTTTCAGAAAACTTCGTCAGAGTTTTCATGATATTAGGAACAAGGTAACAAAGCTGGGTGGATGAAGTTTTTGAGTGCAAAGTAGACGAATTGCATGTAAGAGTGTGCATTGGCAGAAATCATCTGCACATGTTCCTGAGTTTTGTGTTCACTTCCTCTACTCAGGGAGAAGACCTGTGCAGCATTGTGGAGAACAAGTATTTGCAATGTGTGTGGTATTGGTGAGCTATGTAAGCAAAGCTTGTAGATCAAATGAAGGAGAAAACCAATGATTTCATTAGGTACACTGGAGGTGTATTCTCAGTGCAGTGTTCATATTAACCAGAATTTAGGGAGAGGTAAGAAAAATAGGAAGCCTTGATGTCACTAGGGACTTGAATACTGGGAGGAGAGAACATGAAAAGAAGGCATGACAGCAAGAGAAGACAGTAAATGATAGAAAATAAATTAGCTGTGCTTCTTTAACTGACCTCATTAGAGTTCAAGTAGCTGTCTGTGAAACTGAAAGGCAACAGACTTAGAGCCTGAGATTAAAAAAGGTTTTTTTTTAACA